GAAGAGAAAAAAAAAAGCACTTTTATTTGCAGAAAAAAAAAATGTTCTGTAATACTTAAGGTGATGTACAAAGTCAAAGTTGTTAAAACTTTAGGACAAAGTATTAAAATATCAAGATAATTATATGCATTATTCCCGAGTATGAATTAGACACACTCCAGTACACACTGTATCACACATACACATTCACACATACATCCCAATACATACTCCAATGAGCATATACACTAATATGCAACAACACACACACACACACACACACACACACTTTACCAACGTTGATGTCACAAATAGTGCAATCTGCCCAGTGCATCTAATGAAGACCTTCCTAAGCACTTACCAGTTTCTTAAGCGCAGGCAGAGATTCGCATGTTCTGCTCAGGAATTTATTTTATTTTATTTTATTTTGGATTTTTTGAGACAGGGTTTCTCCGTGGCTTTTGGTTCCTGTCCTGGAACTAGCTCTTCTAGACCAGGCTGGTCTCGAACTCACAGAGATCCGCCTGCCTCTCGAGTGCTGGGATTAAAGGCGTGCGCCACCACCGCCTGGCTCAGGAATTTCTTTTAGGACAGTTCTGAAGATGCCAGAAAACACAGTGCAGGAACACTGCACATTTACCTCCTCTACTGAGATGATTTTAATTAAAAGGCATGGCTTCAACATGCTTTAAATATATATATATATATATATATGTACATATATATATACACACACATATATATGTACATCACACATACACACATAGATAGATAGATAGATAGATAGATAGATAGATAGATAGATAGATAATCTTACACCTGGGAGACAAAGGCAATGTAAGCTAAAAAACAGAACCTAAAAAAGATGGTTAGTATAATTACTTCTATGGATAAGCAGAAGCAGGCAGATATCTGTGAGTTCGAGGTCAGCCTGATCTATGAAGCAAGTTCCAAGATAGCTAGGGCTACACAGAGAAACCCTATCTTCACAAACCCCCAATAGATTTTATCCTCTTTTAAACATCAAATAATAATAATCTTAGGGATTAACTTAAACAAGGATTCTTCTTTTATCTTAAAATCTTATAGCCCACTTGTCATCTTAAAAAATTACTTAATTAATACACGTCCTACCATATTTTCCACTCTGTGTATTATTATGTGTTAAATGTGAGGAAACTGTCGAGCAAGAGTGTAGTGTAAGAACACAGACATTGTCACCATGTTTCATAGTTTTATTGAATTTCTTAGTTTGAATTGTCTATGATAAGTATAATTCTAATGACCTCAATTATAAAGTTCTGTTGTTACTATAAATAGCAGATACAAGGTTGGCTGCCATGCCTTGGACACACCACACACACGCGCACACACACACACACGCACACACACACACATGCACGCAAGCACAGAAACACGGGAGATTCTGAAGCCTGCTACATTCAAACAATACTGTGCTTTTACGGGAAGTATACCTCTTTTTTATTACAAAGACAGTTATATGTAATCAATCCAAATTTTGTCAAGCTATCACTGATGCCGATAAACCTGAGAAGGCTTAAAGTGTCAATCAAATAACACTGTTTCATACCTCTCCATAGCACTGCTAACTGCAAAGAAATCCGCTTCCATCATCTACATGAAAATCACAGATATTATAAAAATAAAATTTTCTTGCAAAATCTCTAAAACAACATATAACTCAAATGCACAAATTTTGTTCTGTAACATAAGTTCACCTTCACTTAAAAAAAAGTGACAGAATTTAGCAGCCAAATGATACAGTTATCACTAAAAATGTTGGCATTGAAGTTGCCAGAGTGCCTGAAGAAAACAGATTAAAGTCAATTGCAATGCTGAACTTGTTGGTAGTGTTAGGTAAAACCCCCACCTTAAAGATGTTAAGATTGTACTGTGTTATCTTAAGAAAAAGTACAATGCAAAGCTTCAAGATTTAGCAAAAGACATCAGCCGCACTTTTCTCTTGCTGTTTCACTAAATGTGTGTTTAAATCCTTACATCATGTCTATAATGCCCACTAGACTTCTAAATCATCCATTTTGAGCAGGAGACAAGCCTTATTTAGCCTGTGGCAGTGGAAATATTTAGGGCATATTCCAAACATTCTGAAAAGACAACACAAACTTTCTATAATACAAATATATATACATATATAGTGCATAATACAAAACCTGTCTAAAATATCCTACACTCGTTATGAATCTTATGATAGTCTAACACCAAGTTGTGCCTGTAGAACAAGAATCCTAAATGAAAGGAAGGCATGCAAACCCAAATCCAGGGAAAATTAAACACATAATAAAACAGATTTTTGTTTTAGATTCAAATACAAACTAGACTTAAATGTTCAATACTAACATCTGAAAAAGTCTTAAATATAATTGCCATTTTATCTAGCATTATATTATCATAAAATATGCCAGTGTGACATTTGAATATTATACATTGCAATAAATAGAATTTACATCAGTATATTGTACTCTCAAAGAAGTTTTACAGTCTGTACAGCTGAAGGCCCACGAGCTTCATCAATAAATACTATTATAGTAATTACATTCAATTGGCAAAACAAAATCTTTGATACATGCTTACTAGTACCACATCTTCTAAGTTCTGTTACTAATTGAATTCTGGCTCTTGCTAAGTACTGGTATCTGTCATATCAAAAGGTGGTATAGTGTCCTGGTTAAGTAGAGATTTTCAGGTTTTAACCTGTCCATACAACAGTTGGTAAACACAAAGAATTTTATCCAAGGACTAGATGGAAGAGTCCTAGGAAGCACAGAACCAGATTCCAAACAGTTCTCATTGTCTGCTTTTTAAGATTTACTGCAGCACCCATGGTGCCAACAAATGAATGCCCTCTCACCTTTGCTGCTCATGCAAAATGGGATTCAAGTGTCAAGATTCCAGCAAATTCTCAGCAGACACATAATGGTTTTAATTTTGAATTTTCTCTGTGCTAAGTTTCTTCTCAATTTATCATGTTAGTGTAATAGAAGTTCAAAGCAACCTTCAAAGAGCCAAAGAACAATTTGTAAGGAATAACAACAAAACCGACAACAATCACAAACCCTTGAAGTTGGAAACACTTTTGGAGTGTGAAATTCAGTGACTTGCTAAACTGTACATTTTTTGGTGTCATTCACCCAAGTGTCAACAGATCTGTCTTTACTATGAATATGCTTACTCATATCAGGCGGCACAAATTGGTTTTTTGGCTAATAACGTGTTGCTTCTTCCTGACCTGTGCACGCACAGGTCATCTCAGGGACTTCTCTTGACCTGGAAAAATTTGGCACAGTCAGTGTTATTATATTAAATGATGAAGCAAGCTAAGGAAGAAGGTGAGGCTGGGGCTGTATCTCAGTGGCTGGACTCTTGCCTAGTATCCATTAGGCCCTGGGGCTAATCCCCAGAAAGAGGAACACGGCAAAGTGTAAAGGACCTTGGTTCCCCTCACCAAAACACATCCCCAAAGAACAGTTTATGAATGTTGAAACAGTGCATTTAATATATACCCAAGATCAGACTGGCATCATGAAATTCAAACGCAGAAAACTGTATTAAACAGTGAGGAAATAATGGAGACATATGGATCACTGAGCTGTGTGTTTCTGAAATTTCCATTTGGATTAGTTTAACAAAATTACTTTTGAGCCACTGAACATTTTTGAAGTGTCAACATACTGAGGCTGTGTTTTAGATTTCTGTCTGTAGGATTCTGAAACAGAAAATGCTGCATGAATCTTAACACCTTGGGAACCCTGCAAACCTCAAAAGTGGAAGACACCTAAAGTGTCTTCTTCAGTTGGCTTTTATGGCAAGACTGACTGTGTAAGAGAGCCACTGAGAGATAGGAGGGCTGAATGCAGCTCATCTTCACGGGTCTGAGTAACATGAGACTTGGCAAATGGAAGCACTCCAAAGAGCTCTCAGGTCCCCGGTCACTCGCGTGTCTAAAACTGACATCCAGCCCTGAATTTTATGTCATTATATCCTACTGGGTCACAAAGGTTCTTTTTTTTTTTTTTTGTCTTAGGAAGTACTTTAAAAGCGCTTTCTAGCGTCATTTATAACCTCAGGAGATAGCCGGTAAAGACTAGCTTTCAAGCTAAAGTTCTTCCGACAGCAGGTTATTTATTTGTGACTGTTTCCTCATTATTTTAATTATATTAAGTTTAGTGATACCAAGGACTACACATGTAGCAATTCGTTACTCATTGAAAATTCTTTTTAAATTTCAGTACCTTCTTACAAATATTTCACTGCTGCTTAGCAGACAAGAGTAGAAAACAGGGGCTATCCCCTAACTACAGAGGGCTTGATGTACACTTTCAATTGCCTTCTTTTCAGTTTTATGGTGCCTCGGTTACTTCCAAGTTAATTTCCTCTACTTTCTCTCTGCAAATGGTTTTCATTTCAAGAGTCACTAAAAGATAACGATTTGTTAAAAGATGACAGCTGCCCATGCTCTTGGCACACCTATGACTTCCTTACATTCACGCTTCAGGAGGCATTTCATGTTTTCAAGAACTCTGAGGAGTCAGAAAGAACCTTCCCATTACTATTCTGGTTTTGGGCCCTTCTTCTAGAACTCTTCTCCCCACCCCCAGCCGCACTGTGAATGTCAACCACAATCCTCTAAAACACTAACAGCCCTGCCCTATAGCCCTCAATCTAACATTCTGCTGCCTCAGCCAGCCAACCTTTAGTCTGAAATTTAACTGTGATTTCTCAAAATTGTTTTCACAGATGTGGGTGAGTACTTCTCTTGGAACACAAAGTCCAAAGACACTGCACAGCAGTGGGGCATGTGAGGGCTTTTTTATCCCAGGAAGCCTAACAGTCCACAATATTTATAAGAAAAACACATGCACTTCAATTATTTTGAATGTATTTTGCCAATAATATAATATCCGCATCCTCCCACCACCAAACATTAAACAGGCAATGTGCAGGAATCCGTCTTCCAGAAATGACTGGAAATACTCATTTTCCACACATAAAAGTCCACTGATTTTATTTTCCTTTTCAATTCCCCAAAGACATTATCAGCCACCATCTATGCTTCCGAGGAACTGAAGGGCATGGACCGCAGGCAGCTGCTCATTACTGAATGGACTGACCGGTATTGCATTAGCCTAGGCCAAGCAGTTTTTGAAAGTAGAGACTTTAGTTTGTTTTCACCATGAGATACACACAGCAACAGAGGCTGGACAAATCACAAACTCCAATTCCAGGCGGCCAGTTTTTCTGGGAGAAACTTTTAACATCAAAAGTGCCCTGCTACTCATGCACATACTTAAATAATAGCCGTGCCTGTGAGTTTCAAAGGGAGAAGAGGGCGTGTTTATCTAGGTGGCACTGCTCGATTACACAGACTCCTAGTGAGTAAGAAAGGAGCTTACAGGAAAGGAAGATAAACGTGAGCGTGCAATAAACCGATGCTTCCTTTTTTTTTTTCTCTCAACTCACTACTGTCTGATCTGGAGCACTAGAAACTTAAGGAGAACAAAAAGGTAGTTGGTTCTGTGAGCATCCTACCATGTTACAAAAGGGAGGTGTTTGGGTCTGGTGCCTTCACAAGCTGGTGTCTCCGTTCTGCTTGAACTCGGATAAGATATTGAGAGTCATTTCTTCACTCTTGGATTGTAAATTGGCCTCACTTCTCCTGGAAGCTTTCCTGGTGGCTCGGGACAATCTCCTTCTGAAAGTGTCTCCAGCCAAGAAATAAAGAATGGGATCCACACAGCTGTTGAGACTTGCCAGACCTCGTGTCACCTGGTAGGTGGCATAAACCCTGTCATTGAACGCACACATTTCTGGGGTCTGGAAATCCAGCCGTGCCCGCAGATTCATAGTTTTCATCACGTGGAAAGGGATGTAAGACACAGCAAACACTGTCAGGACAATTATTACCAGGTAAATGGATTTCCTCCGGAGAGGAGAGTTGTCCAGGTCTTTGTAAATAAGAGCTCGAACAATTAATCCATAGCAGCCCAAGATAAGCACCAAGGGGATGCAGAACATGGCCACGGTTGTGCACATGCTGTAGATGAAATAACTTCGCAGGTACTCATCGGCGGTGGTGTCATAGCAGGTGATGGTTTTGTTTTTCCGCATCCCAGTGCCCGAGTAGAAGAGAATGGGGGAGATGGCCACCACCACAATCAGCCACACCAGCACGCTGACATAAATGGCATTCTTCTTCTTGAGCCTGCCCAGAGATTTGAGCGGGTACACCACGCCGCTGTACCTGTGTGCGCTGATGCAGGTGAGGAACAAGATGCTGCCATAGAGGTTTACATGGAAGATGAATCTCTGAAGCTTGCACATCGCATCCCCGAAGATCCAGTCAGTCTTGTTGAAGTAGTAAAAGATGAGAGCTGGCAGGGTGAGCACGTACAAAAAGTCAGCCAGAGCCAAGTTGAACATGTACACGGAGATGCCGCTCCAAGGTTTCATGTGGAAAACGAACATCCAGATAGCCACGCTGTTGCCCAGGAAGCCTATGATGAACACTAAGATGTAGACCACCGGCAGGTAGTAGAATTGGAAGCCGGTCTTGGTCAGGGCACATCTGAATGAAGAGGCAACTGCTGCCGTGGAAGCTACTGTACTGTTTCCCCAAGGCGAGCCCAGGCCAGCCAGGAAGGCTGTGTCCGTCCCGTTGGGGACAGCTGGCCAAGGGACCTCGGTCATCCTCTGCTCTCCAACTCAGGCAGCAACTCGGAGGGGCAGACCGCAGCGAGCGGGCGGCAGCGGCGAAGGGCTCAGCGCGCATCGGAGGCGCGGGCGAGGGGAAGGGACGGCGCGCTGGAGTTCCCCACGGGTCGGGGCGCGCGGGGGCTCGCCCACGCCGGCTCTAGCCGCGCGTTCGTCGCGGGCCATGAAATTGGCCCCGAGGTTGCGACTGAACCAAGCTGAAGGACGGGCAGGCAACTTCCCGGTCCAGCTGGCAGCGCGGAGGTTACACAACAGGACGCGCAGGGCACCTCCACCAAGTTTGCAAGTGCGCTCCCGCGCGGGGCAGCAGCAGATCAGCGCTGCACCGCGCGCCCGGGGCGCGGCGCGGCGCGGCGGGGTCGAGTTCAAGTCGCTCGGCGGTTCCCAGCGGCGAGAAGGCGCAGGCCAGCCACCTCCCGCACTGATCAACTTTGTCTGGCCATCTGCCTACTCCCTACCTGGCAAGCTCGGACCTTCGCCGGGGCCACCCGCCGCTTCTTCCGGCCGCGCTCTCAGCCCCGCGCTCAGTCTCGGGAGGTCCTTTGGAGAGCGCGTGGCCGCGGACCCCGACGCTGCTAGCCTGCACCCCGCTTGTGGTCCATGAGGGCTGCAGCCTTTCCAGAGGCTCCACTGGGTCTCGAGTGCAGGGGGCAGGAAAGAGAGCCAGGCTCCCAGCGGGGTGGGCGGAGCCAGAGAGCCCGGGCGAGTCCGCGCTCCGCGGGGAGGAGAGGGGCGTGTCTCCGCCGTGCAAGCTCGTGGCGGAGGACTCAGGGCTGGGCGTGGAGGGCGGGAGGTGGCCTCTGGAAGCAGGGTTCGCGGTGCCCCTGCACGCCTGGCACGGCCGCTGCCACTCGAATCAGTGGTCGGAACAAAAGATAAGCTATGGTAGCGACGGCTACTAGCGAGCAATTGGTCAGAGGGGTTTCCTTAAGACCTCCACCAGCCAGCTCTGCAAAGTGAAGTTGCTGATACATTGGAAAGCTTCTGAACGCTGGCAGCATTTTGCCTAAAGCTGTGAGCTGAACGTTCTGGGCAGACATCCCCAGAGTCTCTCGGAATTCGCAAGGTGTTTGCAGGCTCCAGACAGCCAGCAGTTTGCAGGTGGGCACGCCCTGGCCCTGCACAGCGCCTTGCTTTGCCAAGCGCATGTAGGAACCTGCTGATCCCAGAAGGTGCCAGCTTTGAATGAATGAGGGTGGTAAGCAGCATGGGCGAGTCGCGTTCTGCCCTTCGTGTCTGTTTGTTTTTGTTGTTGTTTTTTGTTGTCGTTAATCTCAACTGTTTTTTTTCCCATCAATTTAGCAAATTGCTAATAAATCAGCCTCACTGGTAACATTTTTGTGAGAATGTCCTTAAGAGCCTGATTCAACTGATGATAGCTAAGGCTACACATATCATCAGTACAACTTGTTAGATAACACTTGCTGGAAAAGACAAGCGCCATCAAACCTCCATTCACGTTTAATTAAATATCAGAGACTACAGTAAAAGTATTTCAACATCAAACCGAGTATTACACACAGCTTTATAGAGAAAGAGTTCCCTTTGGGAAGTGATTAATGAATGGTTTGCCCTTGTTACCAATCCTGTTTCTTAAAGTTCGTAGTTGCACGTTCCTCTAGCAGATACCTTAAAAATACAACCAGAGAACAATGCAATTAGTATATTTATGGCAGACCTTAGTTTAGGCCTCCAAATGCATAAAAATGTAGGCAACATATTCCAAAATGTGTATACTTTTAGTTGTAAATTAAATGGTTATTTCCTACTTGAGGACATAATTGAGCAGGCTTTCCCAAGAATGGCACCAAGCACTTTATGACAATTAACTGATTGATGTATTTTGTGTGCTACATGAACAAATACATTTCTCTTACAGAAAAAATATAAAAATGAAATGTCTTCAAGTATATACTATATCTATTTCTTTCTAGTCCCATATATTCAATGACTGTGTTCCCTTAAAAATACTAAGGAGGGGTTGGTGAAATGGCTCAGCCCTTCAGGGCATTGGTCACTTACCAGTGAGCCCAAGGACCTGGTCCCCCAACTCACCTGGTGGAAGGAAAACATTGCCTTTTGTCCTTTGACCTCCACACTCCTACTCCACACTCGTGGGCTGTGACGCATGAGCATGTGTGCAAGTACCCACAAACACTCACACACAATGTAGAGTGGAAACAAACAAGAAACCTTAGAGGAAAATCGTGAGCCCTTTTCTCAGATAGCGGAAAGAAAATCACTCCACCCAGCATATCCTTCAGGGGAGCAGCAAGTTGTACTCCATGGACCGAGCGAACACACAGGTGCTGTGAACCCCAAAGCACAGCGATGATAACATTAGAACACGCCAAAGGGTACAGGGGATGCAGCTCAGAAACAGCTGTGTTATCTTTTCTGTTACTGGCCAGTCTTCACCATCATATGATTCCCACGATTCTAAGCCTTAAGAGATGCTCCTCTATAGTTTGATTGACAGGCTCCTAGCAGGGCTGCATCATCTACTGTGAAGGAAAAGGAAGCAAGGGAAAGCCCACTAAGCCTTTCCAGGGTACTCAGGAGGTCTTGCCTCCTCACTCCTTTCCATTGCCCATTTGCAATCTAAGCAGTATATAACCTCCCGCAGAAGTCTGTTGCAAATGCATTAGCTCATCATGTGAGTGTTTTGAAACCTACCTTTGGTCCAGAGAGCGCTAAGTCCTTTCAGAAAACCTACTAGAAATTTAGGGAACCAGACTGCATCATAGACATTTTAAAAGTGGATTTTTTTTTAAAAAAGAGTGATTCTTTGAAATACTACTTTCACATTTATCATATTTAACTATGTATTTGTACTATGTTTAAGGTATATTAAAATTAAAAATGCACCTTATAGGGACAAACTATAATCATTTGTTTGTAACCTTCTATTTGTAAAATACTGAACCAGATTCGATGAAGGAAAAATTAAAAGATCACCTAAGACCGACTGTCTGTATTCATATTTGAATAATATTATATATGCCTTAAAAGTGTAAGAGAAACATAGAAAAACATATGTCCCATATTGCCCCCAACATTGCTGCCAGCACTTGGATGCTAATTGGTAGTGAATTGGAGTTACAGTGTGTTGGGGCTCAGGGACTTCAAAATATTTGTCCTTTGACATGCCTAGCAGTCTGAACTTGAGGAGCCTAGGGGGCCACCTAGGCAAGATCTCTCTGGCCTCCTCTTCTCCTCTCTGTAAATCTTCACCTTGTCTCTTGAGGTGAAGCTCGGGAGCCAGACTGTCTTGTGCTCTGGATCCTTTGCTCCTCTGCTGGCCATGACACTGCCTCCAAGGAGGAAATGCTGCCCAGAAGTACCAACAAGAATCTAAACAGGCAGAGCTAGGTTTTCCTTTTTATTTGCTGGCATTTTTATTAAATCTAAGAATAAAAGTCGACAGCTTTCTTTGTGACTTTGTGTCTTCATTCTTCCAAGTTCCCACACCACATAAACTTTGGTTACAGAAAATTGATATTTTCCCATTACTGAGCTGTGATATGTTTAAGTGTGTCCACCATAACCCTTAGGATGAGCAAGAATCTTTCATACTGTCCCACCCTTGGAGATATAAATGAGTATTAATGTGTTTAAAATGCCAAGAACACACAAAGCTTATCACAATATCATGTAACATAGCAACAGAAGTCTTATGAATGACTTCCAGAACCCTGACTTGGGGCAACAGAAGAATGAAGAAATGACAGACACACAGACATACAGAAAAAAGCTGAGATCAGGTGGTCTGGGTTCCCGGATGGGGAAGGCACAGCACCCAGAAGCTTATCCATGTTTATTACAGAACCTTTGAAAAGCGAGGCAGGGTTACAGCCCACAGCTGAACAAGAGGCAGGAGGCAGGTTTAGCTAATCTCAGTATGATCTGTCTTCAGACCATGAACATCCTCAGAGAAAAAAAACTATGGTGGACATTTCAACACACTCTCAACCTTTGCACTCAACCCAGAGGAAGGCTGTGTCATCCTCTGAGCCTCACCTTGGGTAGGCTTTGCAACGTCCATGGAGCTGGACCATTGAGGTCCTTGACGTGGCCATGCTCGTAGCAACAATACACATTCACTCAGGATTTCACTAGCTCCCCGTAGACTTAGGATTTATAGTCAGCAATAGACACAATTAAAAAAACATTGTCTATGGACTGGAGAGATGGCTCAGTGGTTAAGAGCATGATCTGCTTTTCCAGAGGACCTGAGGTCAATATCCAGCTTTCACATGATGGTTACCACCATCTGTAACTCCAGTTTCTTGGGACCCAATGCCTTCTTCTGGCCTCAGTGGACACCAAGCACATGTGATTCACAGACATACATGTAGTTAAAACACGAACACACATATTAATATAATAATTTGAAAGTGAAAAATGACCAAAAATATAAAGCTTTTTTTTTTTTGTTTTTCTAGAATATCCCATTCTACTACTGGCAATAATGTTACTGAGGTAAATAGTAGGAGTGATAAAATTACCTGATCAGAAAGGTTAGGGAGTTCATCCACTGTCACGGACTTTAAACCCAAGGGATTAAACTTGGGTCACAAACTAGTGATGGAGCTGAAAGAAGTGGGGGTCGCTGCTTAGAAAGCATAACTATTAGTGGCCAGTAAGGACTCAGCATTAAAAACCAGCAATTCCCAGAAGACTCCTCTCAAGAGAAAATATTAAGCTGATCCTCAAAGGTAGTGATAGCCACAGAGACTCTTTGAAGCTTCTCAAATGCACTTAATATGTCTTTACACAGCTTTTATAAAAAATATAAATTGAAAATGATAATCATTAAACTCATATCTTTGCACTTAAACTCATAAAGAAAAGACTCTTGTGCTCAGATTCTCATTATCATCTTCAGAAAATCTAATTTTTTCTTGTTTAAAATAAGGACAAAAAGATCATTGAGAATAATTCCAGTGTACGTCCACAGGAAAGGGAAGAAAAAGAACATCCAATTAAAATAAATACGACACCACAAACACTAGAGCTACGTTCGGTGTCAGTATGAAAGGAAAGAAATCAACGGCTGGTACGGCTGTTCTGAGTTTTCAGGTAAGAGCAATGAAACCCTGATGAGCAGGCAAGGAGACCCTGTAGAAGCTCCTAAGAATAAAAAATGAGACAGGATGATTTCTGAAGAATACCTTAGGAAATGAGGAAAATGTTCAGTCTCAAATCAAAGTAACAGGAAAATATAGGAAGCAAGAAATCTAAGGAAACTCTCAGAGATGTCCTTCAACCAAAGAGAAATAGGAGAAAGAGCTAAGGTGGGGATTTAAAATAAAGAAGCCAACCGAAAGAACGAGAGGGTGGTCACGTGTCAAGAGGGCCCAGCTGCTCCTGTCAATTACACACTTGTCATGGATTCAATCAGAAGGCTTCCTGAAATTTATTTCATTAGAAGTCACAGCAGGGGGAGAAAGAGAGGAGACAGAAATTACAGTCCAAGGTTGGGATGGGGAAAGGAGAGAGCCGTGCAGAAGAGTAGCTCATCACAGCTAAGAGCTGTCAGTGGTGTCTCCCAAAACCAACCTTGAACTTTGCACAGATGAAAGTCAGATCAGTTCTAACAAGGCTTCAGTGCTCAGTTTAGGGCATTGATTT